TTTGCCACAGATGCCATCCTGGCCACACTGATGAGCTGCACTCGCTCTGTCTATTCTTGGGACATCATTGTCCAGAGAGTTGGATCCAAGCTTTTCTTTGACAAGAGGGACAACTCAGATTTTGGTGAGGAAAAGTCCTGAAAGAAATTTCTGTTGCAGTAGCTAAAGGGTCTAATTTTCTTTATGCTTACTTGAGTTTATTCTGTGTCTCAGTGTCCAGACTGAGAGCACTGAACAATCTGATTACTGCAGTACCCTTGATAGCTGTGGGGGGAACTCCAGTATTGATCTGCTCCACTGTGTGGCTAAAGACTCACTGAAGCTGACATAGTTTCTCCCCCAAGTATAACCACTTGTGTCTGGTTTTCTTCTCAGACCTCCTGACAGTGAGTGAAACAGCCAATGAACCACCACAGGAAGAGGGCAACTCCTTTAATTCTCCACGCAACCTTGCCATGGAAGCTACCTACATCAATCATAACTTCTCCCAGCAGTGTCTGAGGATGGTAAGGTGGAGCAGTGCTAAATAGTAGGGCCTGTGTTTCAGAGAGTCTTGAAACTTCATTAAGGCTGCTTTAATACAGCACAGAAGGATTTTAATTGACAGTTATATTACACTGATGTTCTTCCAGTTTTGAAGGAGGTGGGATTACTTCTGGTGAGCAGTGTGACTTTGTTGTAGAAAAATTTTCATCCTTATTTCACAGAGAAATCATCTCACTGCCCTTGGTGATGCAGACAGGCTTCTGAGTACACTTACTGAAGCTGAAGTACCATTACAAGTACTGCTTATAGCACTGTGACTAACATGAACATGAAGCTTCTCATCAGCTGTTTTATGTTTTGGTGTTTTTCTATATAAGGGAAAAACTGTTGCTGTAAAAGAATATTTTTCTGGTAGGGGAGAGCTGTCTCAGGCTTTTTCTCCTAACATGCCCTTCTGTTTTCATCTGCAGGGAAAGGAGAAATATAAGTTTCCTAACCCAAACCCCTTTGTGGAGGATGACATGGATAAAAACGAAGTAGCCTCTGTTGCATACAGGTATGTTGATACTGCTCTGATGCCAAGGTTTGGCAAGGAGGCAGGATGTCTGTGTGATACGGAGGCAAAACAGATTAGGAGTGTTACTGATAGGAGCTTTACCTTGAGAGGGATTTGTGGATAACTTCACAGGGAACAGATAGAGGAGGAAAAGATTCTGCTGAGTGCTTGCGTGGATCTGGAAGAGAATAAAGGTCAGAATAACCGGCTGGATTGTTTGTTGGCAGATACCGAAGGTGGAAGCTGGGAGATGATATAGATCTCATTGTCCGCTGTGAACATGATGGAGTGATGACAGGAGCTAATGGAGAAGTGTCATTCATCAACATCAAAACACTGAACGAGTGGGATTCCAGGGTGAGGAAGAATGGGATTCCAAAGCTAGCTCTAACTGCTTCACTGCTGCCTGACATGCCAGGTACAGCAGAGAAGATAAGACAAACATCTGGCGGTGTCCCCTGTGTGTTATGTTCCACCAAAGGAGTATAACTTTGGTGGACAAGCAGTGCTGATGGGATTTTCCCCCAGATGAGATGTAGCTGGTTTTAACACTCTTGTCTCCAGGGGTTCAGCACAGTGGCCAGTCTGTTCCCATGCTTCCCTCGTGAATTCTTCCCTCACAAACTACCCTTTCTAACCAGTTGGGCAATCCCAGCTTGTCAGACTGACACTAGTTTTGATTCTCCTCTCAGTATTGCAATGGAGTAGACTGGCGCCAGAAGTTGGACTCCCAGCGAGGAGCTGTGATTGCCACGGAGCTGAAAAATAACAGCTACAAATTAGCCCGCTGGACATGCTGTGCGCTGCTGGCTGGATCAGAGTATCTTAAACTTGGGTAAGGTGGGGTTTTCACACCAAACGTCTTCAAGGTGCATTTTCCATGATTAAACGCAGTATATATGTGTCTAAATGAAGCATTTATAGAATGAGTAATCATAAAACAACCAAACACTGGAGTAGCCAAGAAGGGAAAGCTCGTGATGAGCACACCAGCCTTGGTGTGAGCTGCTACCCATCAGCATCAGGCTGATGTGCCCTTGCTGTGGCTGACCTCGTGAGACCCCACACATGTGAAGGGCAGGTGGCCTCTGTGGCTGTCGGCCTGTTTGCGGAGGTCACCAGCAAGGAAAATAAACGCAGCGAGTGTGCTGCCTGTCAGGAATCCGATCGACATCCTCCTCAGTGCCCTGTTACTGAGAAATTGGGTGGTGGGGGAGGGTATGGCCACAGCCCTTTTTGAACTGTCAGCTTAAAATCATTTGAGTCTGTGCTGTGGGTAATGAACGGGAGGCATCTGCTGACTCTTTTCTAGTGGTTCTGCAATCCTAGGTTACACCCTCAGACACAGGACTGATACTTTTGCATATGCTTAATTCCAAACTCCCAGCTAATCATGCTATTGCTTAATTTTTATCTATGCGACTAATTCTTCTGTATCTTTTGTACCACTCCATCCGATTTGGGGATTTCCAGGTGCATTACTGATTGACAGTTTGTAGCCAGGAGATCCTCTTAGCTTTCAGTGTTGGAGTATTAGGATTTTTCAGCCCAGAAAACAAAACTAAGATGATCACAGTGCTTTTCTTGCTGCCATTCTTCTGCTGTCGGAGCTTAATTTCCTGATACCCCTCTGGTTTCTTCTTGCCCCCCTAGGTACGTATCCCGTTACCACGTGAAGGACTCTGCCCGCCATGTGATCCTGGGCACGCAGCAGTTCAAGCCAAATGAGTTTGCCAGCCAGATTAATCTGAGCATAGAGAATGCCTGGGGCATCCTGCGATGTGTCATTGACATCTGCATGAAGCTGGATGAGGGGAAGTATCTCATCCTCAAGGACCCCAACAAGCAGGTGATCCGCATCTACAGTTTGCCTGATGGCACCTTCAGCTCTGATGAAGATGAGGAGGATGAAGAGGAAGAAGAGGAAGAGGAAGGTTTGTAGCGTACTTGGGGATTTATGCTTCTAAGTGATGTACTGGTCTGGATAAAAAGGGGTGACCCGTGGTAAAGACCAGAGCCAAAGGATGAGATCTGACCAGTGCAGTGGCAGGAGAAGAGCAAGGCCAGAGAACATGTGGTTGCAAGGAAAGGTGTGGGTGACATTGGGAGTACTCAGTTGGAAGCAAAAAGAACAGAGAATTGGAAATGTAGATGTTGTGCTTCTGTACAGATACTTAATGAGGACTGATTTTACCAGGGGTAGGGGAGAGAGGTCCCAGATCCAGAACACTGGCTGGGAAAATGAAGCCTGCCAAGGCCTTCATTCAGCAGCCCCAAGATTTGCGGGAGTGGGTGGGTGCTGATTTCTGTTGGTACTGGGATATTTTTTGACTACAGTTTTAGAAATGGCAGTGACTATCAGATGACACATTTAAAATGCGTGGTGATGGAGCACAATTGAGGTAACTCCGTGAAGGCTTTCCTGAAGTGACTGTTGAAGCAGAGCAATCGCTGGCTAGTCAGGATGAGAGTTTTGGAGGATTGGTGGTGCCCTGTGGACAACAGCTGGTTTTGCTTCACTGCCTAAAACCATCTGCGATCCCTGATACAAGATCTCTGTATGCTTTGTTCAGACAGTGGGACACCATTTATCCTAGGGCTCCTGCTTTTGTGATAATAAAAGTATCTCCCAGCTTCTTTGGCTGTAAACTTGGCATGGCTGCTCTGGATTTTATTATGGAAATGTTAGTTAGGTCTCTGTGTAATTTACTCAGGAATGTAAATTGTGTAATTCCAAATTACGTGTGTGTGGTCTTGGCTGATGGACAGGTTTGTTGGGAAGGTGGGGTGAGGGAGGGACAGGCAGTCAGAGGTGGGATAAATCTCCCTGAAGTGACAGCCTTGGTTTTTCATGTTCCTTGTGGCATTTCCTTGACAGACATGGTTTATTCTGGGGTTTTGGGTGGTTTTCTTTCCCCTGGTGCATTCGTTTCACTGCTATTTGTCTTCTGTTTCAGAGGAAGAGAGCTGAATGCTGCAGCCAGCACCGAGGGGCAGCAGTGACAGGCAGCCCCGTCCTTGCAGGC